TCGAGCAGATTTCTGCGTTCGCGCCATTCAAAAACGGCCGCCAACACCTCCGCTTCCAACACCCACGGCAGAGAACCGGCCAGGGATAATGTTTGAGTACCTAATATTATTCAATTTAGGATTTGGGATTTCGCAATAACATGTCTAACTATGTTTAAGATGAAACAACGCCACGAAATCGTTCAAAGATCTTACCGTTACGTAACAAGCATGTACTGATAAGTAAATACACATTCAATTACTTTATTAGTATTGCGTTGCATAATAATTCAACCTTCACCTAACTAATTTAGTTTCAATTACCCCGCAAGTTATACAATAATGTACAGACTAGGTACATTTTAATGTATCAAAGTTTTGACATTCAACATTGACCATAACATGAACTCACCACGACAGAGTGTATGGCACCGATCCTGGCACAGGCGAGCATGCAGACCACCGTCTCTAAGATCATCGGCATGTAGATGGAGACTCGATCGCCCTTGGATACTCCGATGTCCCGAAGAGCGTTCGCAAACTGACAGACAAGATCCGTCAACTTCTTGTACGTCACACGGCTGTAATCCTCAGGACAGTTACCCTCCCTATAACAAATGATAATTCTTTGATTATTCCAATATCTTATACGGTAACACAAACAAGACCGGTTTTGAAATCACCTTGAGCAAGGTTTATACAAGCCCGTACACAAAAAGGAATAAAGGGGCGCGAGTGCCGCCTCTTTATGCCCTGGACAGACGCTCCACCACACCCTTATCTAAAGACGATACAGGACACAACCTAAGTTTTATTAATTCATCCAGAAGGTTACGAAGAAATCATAACAAGAGATGCCTTGTTCGGGATACCATTATCTTTAGATACTCGGGAAGTACGCAAAGCGATAGATGGAAAACAAGAGGCACGTAAAACACTTCTATTATCTTTGTTCTAAATTATTATTCCCTAAAAACTTAAATGCAACTTATAGGTGTAGAGCAAGTCTATAGATGGGTGTGGACTTATAACCTTTGTTACGTAGGTAAAAGGTCGGTAATCATTTAAAGTTATTCTAAGCGCATCTTCGACCTCCAACGAAGAATATATATAAAGTCATTTGCATTAAAACTCGTACCATTATGAAAATAGCAAGTACGAGTATAGTAATAAGACACTTTTAATTGTACTGTTATATATTTACATTGAAGTTACCAAATAAAATGTAGTTTGAAGGATATATGATGCAGAGAAAAATGATCGTTGTGAAATTTTACAAACGTTAGATATTTTATCTTATCAAAAGTAAATAGTATTGTTATCTGATGTTAAATCTTAAAACACGCTATTAAAGAACTTTCTGTGAAGTTATCAATGTGATCTTTGAACGGGAATTCCAATTGCAATTGCAGACAAAAAAGAAGCAGTAGATTGGTGCGTTTTAAAGTAAATATAGAGTAAGATACCTTCTTTCGAAGAGCGAATGTTAGACTTAAACATAGTAGAAAGATGCATTACTACGAAACATCTCCGACTATCGAACACCAGACAAAGTTATCGAGCGGAATTGAAGAAGTTTACAAATAAAGTTGGCCTTAGTTTAATATGGAGTACCAATTTGGTTTGGAAGATTTTAGTCAAAGAACCTGTTGTAGTGTTCATTATTAAAAGCATGTGAGTACAAATAGGGAATATGCGTGAGTTTTTTCTTTTTTTTAAACGATTCTACCTGTTATAAAATAATTACGACCATTTTCGAGCGACTAAAACGCGACCGGAGTTATCATGAGACAATTGACGTCAATCGTCATATTCCATACATAACATACGCTCAGATGTCACTTCGATGTAAAAAACAACAAAATATCTCATCGCTTCTCAAGGTCAAAAAGTCAATTATCGATTCAAATAAGTGGTAATTAATAATTCTATTCATTATATTTTTATTTTAAAGTTGGTTTTGATATCGCGTTTACAGTGAAATACTTCAAGAGTGTATTTCTACACAAACTAACGTAAATGAACTGTGTATTAACAACACAGCGACGCCATTAAATAAGTCACTTGCTTCGACCAATAATGTGCGTTTTAGAACTTAGCGAAAGAATTTAAAAAAAGATACTTTTTAATGATTAAATTTTGCCACTAAATCACATTATATTTAAAAGAATCTTTGCAGAAATGTTTTTATAGTAATAAAGTATAGTTAAAAAAAGTTTGGTACAATTTGGCGTCATATGCATATTGCCTATTTGCAGCTTAAGTAAATCTTTAAATATAAAATAGAAAAAAGAAACAATTGTACCCTCCACATCGCTCAATTTCGAATTGAAGTGTTCGACTTTACAATTAACACTGTTAGTGCGAACTGAGCTGGCCTTAGATGTAGATTAGGTAGACACTATCAAATAACATATGTGTGCCAAGTTAATTCAATCAGTAAGTTCGTTGCTACATTTTAAGTTCAACGCATTGTTAAGTGGTATCAAACAATGTTAACTTATGACTAATTAATGCGTCCCACATTCATAAATAATAAACCATAATTAATTGAAACATTCATTGAATGTTACAGTTCATTGTTACTGGTCGCAAAAAATTAAAAAAAAAAGGTATAAAGTCATCTGATCTTTTCGATTTTTATGCTTGCGTCGAATTTAAAAAAAATATATTTTACCGGAATATTCTTTTATTTTTTAAATGTACCGCGTTAAGCCAGCTATAAACATGTTGTAACTGATAATTTTATCGGAAAAGTCAGTGTTCAGTTAAACACTACATACGCACAGCATTGATGAGTTCGATTATTCAGTGAAAACTGTCAGAGCAGACCGACTGTAGCGGGCTTTAGATAAATTCTAGCTTATTTATAGTCAATGTACCGTAGTACTAGCACATTATAAATCATTAAACAATTAAGCGATACGGAACATTAGCCGCGCTAGTTTTATTTGGACACGACTATTTTTGGAATAGAATGTAACACGGAAACGCGTATTCGTTCCGATTAGCGACCGCAAGGTTGGTAATTGACTACGAATGTATAGTTATTGCCCGACTGACAGGAGGGTAAATCCATTTGCATTGAGACCGCATGTTACCTAAAGGATAAGACCAATTTTCGGACATTTCATTCCATTACTAAGTATCTCATTTGTCAATCAAGTTAAAACTTTCAATATCAATGACCAAATGCTTTCAACAAGCGATTGTTAAAAAAGGATATTTATAGACTCATTGAGAAATATATACTGAATATTTATGTTGCTAGAAAGGTAGCAATTGCTATTTCCGTTGACCTTCTTATGTCAAATAGTCAAAATAACTTCCGTCGATCACGAATTAGAATACAAGATCAAATCAAATTAGATAACCTACTGTTTTATACAAGTACCTATTTTTAATTTTGTAATTACATATTGTCATACAAATTGTTTTAAACATTATTTATGTATCCGTTTAAAAGTAGTTAATATTTCGCTTAGCACGATTGCAATATGTACACCCTTAAAATGTTTCCTTAAACAGGACGCTTTAGAAATATTTTATAGTCTGAACAGGTAGGTATATAAAAAACATCGCTATATTGCAAAATATATTGACATAAGTACATGTAAAAGGTACATCTTTATAATTTACTTATACTACGTAATAATGTTTTTCTTAATTCCACGTAGACGGTGTTGCGGGCTAAAACTAGTATGTAAATTAAATATAAGGTGGATAAGATACAGTCGCAAAATATAAAAGAAGGCAAAGCATTTTTGCAATGCGAGAGGAGGTTTTTATTGTAACAACAATAAACCACTTACACAACTTCAGTGTCAACCGAACGTTGGAACTGTACAGTTAAAACTGAAGGTTCGTAGCGGGTTTTACAGGCGAGGCCGATCATGATTGCGGCAATTTGGAAATGCAGCCTTAGGGTAGTACCTACTTAGGGTAGAACTTAAAGTTAAAATCTGTTTATAAAATTGGAACAGCTAGAAAGACATTGGATACGTGAGCTCAATCTCCTATCTTTTTATAGAGATTGGTCTCTTGTAAAACAGAAATTAAGGCAATCGAAGAATTTAAATAATAAAACCAAGATAGCGCTTCGCAATAATTGGTGTTAGTATGATTAAAAATATGGCAAATGCAATTCAATTAAATAAAAAAAAACCTGACCCAAAACAAACGTAGGTACTTTTAATTAACACCAATAAAATGCAGTTATTAGACATGTCATATTGTGTCGACCTTCCGTAGGAACAAGGGCAGACTGATGAGGACAAAACAATACGTTTGGGAAACGAAATTTTCAACGAATTAGCTTGTATGGCTTAGATTATATTTTTATATCGTAAGGTGAAAGGAATATGAAAAAAAATAGAAAACCGCAAAAAACGCGCCAAATAGACAGCTGTTTATTGTATGGGTCGCTTTTTATTGGAAGAAATAATGTTGCCATAGGGAATATTTTAAAAAATTTAGACGATTGACCATATAGTATGATGCAATTTTAAGAATCGTTTGTAGTTATATAATATGTTAAGAAACGCTAGAAATGAAATGTATTCGTGCAGGCAGTCCTTCAGCCGGCCTTGTGTAACTGACCTAGATACAGCATCCCCGGGGGACGAGCCCGGGGACGACCTACTTCAGCACTATCGAACCTGTTCCCACACGATCGATGAAGCCACAAAAATCGTATTATTTCACATCTAATGAATAATATGTCTGTGTGTGGGAGAATTAAAAAGTAATTCTGACATTCACTGAATCATAATAGTTAGTTACTTTAACCCTCAGTATCGATATATCTTTTAACTTTGTTTTCGAAAATCTTTTATGCTGTGTCTTCATTTGGATGTTTTTTAAGTAAAGTAGGAGGTGAGAATTATATTAAGTCAAATGTCATTACAATCTTAGAAAAGAACATAATAAATAATTACGAAACAACAACGGTCGTAGATTCGTAACAAGTCATAAAAAATTACTGCGGAAATAGAAGGTTTAGTAGAGAGCGCCCTAGAGCGAGGTCAAACTAAGGAGGTCGACCGGATTGGTGATTTTTTAACATAAGAAATTTTAAAATACCAACATCCGTACAAAAGTATGGGTATTCTTTTGTTCAGTTTTATGAATACAATATTTATTTTAATTAAAAATATCATCATCTGCTACAAAGAGTTGAAAATGATTAATTTGTTTGATTTTTAGTTTTAATTTAATATAAATGGGTTGTTATTAAATACCTTACGTCATTTAATTTTTATATTAATACCTACAATATTACACGATAATAGACGAAAAAAAAAATAACGAGTGAAAGCCAAGATGATATAATTTTTAAGGAGTTCAGACTAGGAACACCCTTGAAGTAAAATAAAACTGCACAAACCTAAAAGAAAAGAAAAACATCCCGGTGGTTCTTTTAACAAATAAAAAAATCAAGGTTCAAGGTCTATGAGGAAAAAATCCTATAAAAGTAACATGGCCAACAACATACATTACACAAAAGATTAACAAAATAAAAAATTAGATGAACGAAAAATCAATACGAATGTGCGCCGTCTCAGAGATTCGCTCAGCTGTCTATTGATTTTGAGATATGATGAGTGGGAAATTTTACTTACCAGTAATATGCGATTTTATCTCCATAGCCTTTCCTCACGTTCCTATCGAGAAGATTGAAGCAAACGTTGGTGACTGCTCCGTCCATCCATTTCACGAAAATATCGCCTTTGGTTATATCGAAATTGTACGATACGAATTTTCCCGGCTGAGGTGGGGTTTGCCAATAGAATTCTTTCGCCATTTCAGACCAAAATGCCTCTGGTTGCTCAAGAGATACTCTATGCATCTCTTTGTATTTATCGAATGATCTAACGCGAGATTTTTCGACCACATAGTCGGTAGGATTGTACACGCGCGACATTATTATTGAGCGCGTTGTTACCGATGATTAAGGAACAACCACTCACGATAACGTTTTCTCGACGACTGAATGGATTTTTATTGGTAACGCCGCGCCGACGCGAACCGATGCCGACCGAAGTCCCGGACTGCGGGTGACCGACGCTATGACGCAGGCATGACAAGCGCGTGCGCTATTCACACCATACTGTTTTCCCGCGTAAATGTAATACTTTTCGATATTATTACATGTTACAACTGTACTATTGCATGAGATTATTCGACTTTAGGTTTATCACTGTCTCATTGTTAATATGAAACTACTGCCAATTATTTGTGTAAACAATAAATATTAATTAATTTGCTTAACGTTATTTAATGTTTATTGTATCACTTTGGTTGGAATACCTAAAACATAAAAATAGTTTGGTGTTGTAATTTATTTAGGTAATTATAAAGTTTTATATTTTTGCACATCTCAGATAAAATACTGCCTAATTTCAGAGTATATTGCATCTTACAGCGTAGTATGTTCGTTTTTTTTAGAAGGATAGATTTTAATGGGATTAAAATAAGAAACTTTTTATGCATGTGTATATAGAAAATCTTTTATTGAAATCACAAAGACATAAATTATTTACCTTCTGATATTACATGCAGTTCTTATTAATTAAATACAATAAATTAAATATACTATACATTTAAATTGTGATTTTGATTTTCATACTTGTGATATCTGTGTTTACCTTATGACATTTGAAATAATATTTATTTTGTCTATGTAACATCTATTTGTCTTATTGCAAATACATAAAAATACATAAACACGTATAATACTAATTGACATATTTATATACAATTTTATATTCCTACATTTATTTTTGTATTTCAGTCGCCATTCTTATACCAATTAAGTATTTGATTAGTCTTGTCATTAAAAATTTAAAGGTTTACAATGAAATTACGTAACATTAACAGTTATAAAAATAAGATAGCCATAAAAAGAAATAATTTAATATGTTTTTACAATTCCCTTCAACAATTTAACTAGGGCATAAAAAATAAATAATGACCACCTTAGAAAAATACAAAAATTTCATACTACATTAAGACTAAGAAGTCACTTGTGTTTTTTATATAAATTATAATACAATACGGTTTAAAATTAGTTTCAATTGTTCATAAACACTTTTTTAACACTGCAACACTCATTAGTTCAGTTTTTCGTCCACAGATGTCACTAAAAGTTATAATTCTTTTGACAATAGTAAATATCATCTACCATTCGATCTATTTGGGTGTTGTTTTAGTCTGTGCTAGGTGGCTAGCGATATAAGTCTCCGTCGTCTCAACTTGCGTCCCCATCGTTTCCAAAATGTGGTCACACAGTATATTACAGCCACGATAGCGAATAGAGTTAGGGCTCTATTAGCTAAACTTGGAGGCTCGTATACAACTTCAGGGTGTGAACGGGACGGCGCTGCGCCGGCGCCCCTCCAAGCTCTAGGAGCGGGCTCCGTACCCTCTACTTCTGGAGCACCTGCAAATATACATATACTAACTGCTGCGAATCCGTCGAAATTAAAAAAAAATTATGCTCATGTGTTCTTACAGACTATTCTACTATGCCAAATATGATCGAAATCCGTTCAGCCGTGAAAACGGAGAACTAATAACAAATATCTAAAGATTAAAATAATAGTAAAATATCAAAATTAAACTTTTGCAATAAAAAAAAAGTGCGATTTTGATAAGTGTTTAAAAATTGTATAAATATAGCCTATGTTACTGATAACATAGCTAATGGTGTAAGAATTTTTGAAATCGGTCCAGTAGTTTTTGAGTTATTTCATACATGCAAAAATATAAAATTTTTCTTTTTATTATTAAGGATTTGAACCAATGTTTCGAAATTAATAATTATTACTCAAATTTAATAGTTTTTAACATTGTGTTTTAGAAGTAATAGAACTTTATAATGTTGTAACTGAATAACTGACTGAGTAGTAGACAGTAGCTAGTCAGTCTGTGAACATACGCATGCAACTGTGCCGAAATATCGGCAGATTAAACGTAATTGGGGTAAGAAACCCGTATCTTATGCAACGACGGATCCAGAGGGGGGGAGGTCAGGGGGGTCATGGCCCACCCTGAGCTGGTTGGTCAAGAAATTGACAAAATATATAAATATTACCACCACTACTAAGTGACACTCTCCCTGGCGCCAAAGCATCCAGCTTTGATCTTACGTATATTAAATTTGTAAAAACTACGACTGTTTATACAAAATAATATTTATTTAAAGTAAAATGATGCAACATCTGCAGATAACAGCGCATATTCACAGTATTGATTAAATACTAAAGGTCATTAATTTTGAAATAGGTCAGTACAGTTCGAGTTGAGTACTTGGCAACCGTTGTTTTCGCAACTAGGGCGTGTATTTTGGATTCAATAAAATGAAAAAGGCAATATAATAGATAATAAGTTCATTATACTAATATTATAAATGCGAAAGTTTAGATGGATGCATGTTTGTTAGAGTTTGTAGCCTAAACGGCCGAACGGATCTTGATGAAATTTGGCATAGATGTAGAGTACAGTCTGGACGAACAGGTAGCCTTAGTTTTTGTTTTACTTCCAAGTAAGTCGGGGGCGAAGCTAGTAATTATATAAATTAATTCAAAATGCTAAGATAGATAAACAAGTTGTCAATTTTTAATAAAAAAATCGACTACATGTTCATTCTCTTTGGAATTATAAAAATATTTACTACTGTACTGTTCCCCTTCATCATCAGTCTGTCCCTTCTTTATCATCTCCCCAGATTCGCTGGCAACACTCGTGGGAACCTTTTACCCATAAATGCATGATGATGCATTTATATTAGTCTTCTATTCCACACCCAATAGATTATTTTTTGATAAAACTTTATTTTTCCCTTGATCTATGTTCAATTTAGGGTATTTAAAAAGAAAAACATCGTGCATTTACGGGTTAAAGTTAGTATACCTATGCTCCGTGGGTCGGTGGGTGCGTGTTTAGGTGCTAGGGTGCGTGCTGCGGGGGGCGCGGCCACGGGGTGTGGAGGGAGGGGCGCGGGCGGGGCGCACGAAGGCACCGCACGAGGCCCGCTACCATCAGACGATAGTACACGAGAATACATATGTAGTCGCCCACCCTCCGCCCGTTGAGGCAGTTCTGTAATTTCAATTAAAAAAAAACAAACATTTTTAATATCGATGGGTGAAAGGCTTGTTTTAAGCGCCATTAGGTTAATTGTTCAGGAGAGCCATTTAAAGTTTTTATTTTTAGAAAACGACACCTACGTTTTGATTGTTTCAAGCGCCACAAAAGTGCTCTGATCTTTAAGAAACCCTGTTCAAACGACGCAGAAAAATTCGCTGATTCTGAATTTATATAAGTCAATGTCGCCTAATGGCAGTTAAAATAAAAAGCCTTTTACCTGTCGATATTATAAGTTAACAAACGAACAAGCGGCCACCTAAAACCGCCGAAATGACGAAGCGACCGTTGCCAAAAGATATCCGCAAATGAAGTACGTTTCCTACTCTTAAAATATTACTACTCATATTCATATTATACTTTACTACTTTGCTTACAACTTCATCTAATTAAAAACAACCTTGTAGACTATGTTATCTTTCAGACCGGTCTACGTCTATTCCTTTCGTATCGTATTTATAACATCATCAACTTGCCCTTATCTCTTATGGAGGGTCGGCACAGTATGTGCTGTACTTCCATACAGCTCTATCAGCCGTCATATCTGAAACCACTCCTTTCTTAAGCATATCCTCTTTTACACAAGCCATCCATACTTTCTTCGGTCTTCCTCTTCCTTTTCCTTTGTAGCCATCCACATTCATTCTTAACACTTTCTAGTTTATGTCCCCATCGTCTCGTCGCATAACATGTCCATACCACGCTAACCGTTACTTTCAAACTTGCTCTAATATATACATTCTTAACTTTATCCATTCTTGTCACACCACACATCCATCTTAACATACGCATCTTAGCCACATGCAATCTCTTTTCATCCGCAACTTATAATATCGTATTTATAACATTAGTAAGACATTTTAGTACGTTATGTGCGCGCACATAACGTTCACAAGTTCGCCTACTGTGAAAGATAAGTATTTATATAACAAGATTATATCTTATTTTATTTGCATAGTACAAAGCATAATAGATATCAGTAAAATCTCACCGGATGGTATAAGATGTACGTCACGTCTCCTCGCGGCCGCGGCATCCCTCAGGGAGGCGGGCAAGTGTCCGCCCAACGCGTACTGCAGCGCAGCAAGCAGTAGCCAATGACAGGGCCGCGACGACCCGCCTTCAAGACACGACGAGTCACCATATACCACCACACGACCCGCCTAAATACAAATATACAAAGTTCTATAACACTAAAGTTAGCTTACTGAGGCTTGAAAGATATATACATAACATTATTCCAGTCCATCGAAATCAGCGCTGGATTACAAATGGAAATGTTAATCCACACTGGAATGCACTGTGCACATATAGTGCGACAAACTTAACTGACGAGAGAGATTCTTGCGGTTACATCTGTCATCAAATATGTAAAACTTATTAGGTAAGTTTTTTTTCTACCTCTCTTGTATATCCTAGCTTCCGACATGCAAAAATAGTTATATTTCTATAAATAAAGTAAAAATAAGGTCTATCCATAGTTTCGAAAGAAAAAATCCATATTTCGCAAAGATGTATTTGTGTTGATGAAAACTAAAATCGCATTAAAAAAATTGTCTGTGTGTCTGTCCGCAAGCCGCTTTTGTTTCGGGTATTCTCCGAAACGGCTGGGCCTGTTTTGATGGGAATTCAGTGGAGGATAGCTGACGTAGACGAGCAAAATAGGATTTATTTTTTAAATTCCGTGCTGTCAAAATGGCGCCTGGACCTCTATCTCTGGAACGGATGGATCGATTTTAAAGGGACTTTGAAGGTGAAAGCGAACGAGAATATTATAGACGACCATTTTTAAAACTCTTACGAAATTTGCGGGCGCCATTTTTAAAAAAAAAAAACAAAAGAACATAAGACAAACAAAAAACTCTCAACATCCATCCGCCAACTTACCTGTATCTTGTAACCTCAGTCGATGCAAACAGGCGGTGGTTCTACTTCGAGCTTCATAGAGAAGCCTACCTTCACCAGTGAACTGGTGATGTAATGCTGAAATGACGTAAATTCATCACAGAAGCGACATTACATGAACACAACCAACACGGACCTAGCACAAACACGAATGAAAGTAAACATCATAGATGTATAATCTATAGATACCTAATTCCGGAAAACAAAAATTAACAAAAGGTTTTTACAGTGATTAATTCAACTTAAACACACTTCGAAAATCGATTACCAATTAGACATTCCATCTATAGATTACATATCTATGGTTAATGTGTTAAGTACATTATAAAACGATAAACTTATCTGGCTCCGTGAGATGCGCTATTTTCGATTCACTCTGTTAAAGAAAACGTAAACTAGGAAATTAAAACAAGTAAAGACAATGCGACAAAAATGTGTTTACTTTGGAATAAATTAGTTTCACATACTAACGGATCTGATAAGTTTGTCGATAGTGTTAAATGTTGGGCTTACTTTAGGCAGTTTATCCACGGTGTCATTTGTGAATTCCCTGTTGCCACTGTCAGTTTGCAGGAGGCCTAATATCGGTACATCAACTGTGTGGTCGGTGCCCGGCGCGCCCGCACCCCCGCCCTTCTCACCGGACATTATCTAATAAAATTTAATATTATTATATAAAGACATTCGTAAAAAAGTTAGTATCTATATCAACATATGTGAAAACAAAAAGTAATAGAGTAGATATTCTAACAGTTGTATAAAATGTACTCATATAAATATAAAAAAAAAATAAAATAGACTTTTATTCAGTCCTACTTATAAGTTAAAATTAAATAAATAAAAGTTTACAACTGTACAGTTTTAAATAAAAAAAATTAACAGCAATACTTTTCTAGTATTTCCTTTTGATTATTTTCTACAGATCTGTTTGAACGTAGACTTGAACAAAAAAATGTTATTCGATTTCATTTACTCTAATTCAAATAAAAAGTCGAAGCTAACAAAGCCATCCCTCTCGTTTTCTTAGAGAAAAACAGAGATAGCGTTAGGATCTTTGAGAACCGCGATAAAACTTACTTGTTGTCCTTGATCTGATAATTGTGCAGTAATTAATACACCATGTTTTGGAAAACTATGTATATGTGTTCCACTCGCATAGTACATTGGGTGGCCGCCTAGTTTAAAAGCACCTTCAAATACACGGTCGCCTAGTGCTATCTAAAACAATAATATAAAAAACACATCAAAACAGACAGACCAATATTTTATAAGTATTAAGTAAAGTAATTTATAAGAGAGTAATTGAATCATTGTATTTCGTAGTTTTTATTTATATAAAGTGTTTATACACTAGCTTTCACCCCCGACCCCGTTCGCGTAAAATTTAAAAAACAAACAAAAGTAATTATCTTATGTGTTCTTCCAGATGCTCTATGCCAAATTTCATCGAGATCAGTTTAATCTACAAACTCTAACAAACATCCATTCATTCATCTAAACTTTCACATTTATAATATTAGTAAGATACATGTACAATCGGGGAATTTGGTGATGTTCAATTTAAAAGTTACAGTATTTTAACATTTAATGCACATTAATGCGGAACAATAACAAATAGGATGGAGTTTTTGAATGCGTACCAAAAATGTCGGTTTGTAGTACATGGGTTGCTTTTTTATTATAATTCTAGCTTTCACCCGCGACTTCGTCCGCGTGGAATTAAAAAAAAAAAACAAAAGCGAGTAGCCTATGTCTTTTTCCAGAACATTGTCTGCGCCTATACCAAATTTCATCGAAATCCGTTCAGCCGTTTATACTACAAACTCTAACAAACATTAATTCATCTAAACTTTCGCATTTATAATATTAGCAAGAAGTAAGATTTGGGCAACTCTGGCACATAATGAAGGGAGTTTGACTCGTTGAAAGGAACAATGCAATTTTTCTGTAAATGGAACACTGCGGATTACCGCGCCTGTACATTAGATTATTTTTAACAAATCTGTCCTAAGAGTAAATGAATCGGCGCTTACTTGGTACATGCTTAAGAGATCATTCAACGCGGGAACATTGGCACCTCCCGTTTCGGGAATCCACCTAAGAAAAGCAAGATTTTCATATAAAAGTTCCAAAATCAGTTACTTCCAGGATTCTATAAGACAAATAAGGAAATAATAAGTTTGCTTACCATTGCCGCGTATTCTCGTCGTAGAATTTAACGTGACGAAGCAAAGAGGCATTGTACCAGTCAGCGAAGACTAGCAGCGATAAACCCGAATCCACTGCTTTCTTTAGTGCAGCCATTTCTTCGGGAAAATATTCATCTTCGGGATCAACTAACAGCAATGCACCGTACAATGATGTGTCCACACAAGTCAACGGAGTTCCTAATTAAATATAATTTAAAGAGAATCTGAACCCATTTTTGCAGCCACTTAACAGCATCTATACAATTAAAAACTGTTACATTTATGTTTCAATTCACAAACTTAAACAAATAAACGAAACTTTTCGCTGAAACTCGATAATTCCATAACATTATTGATGATTTTTTAAATCACTATTAAACAAAAGCTTTTGTTTTGCCACCGAGAAGTTGAATTAAAAAAGAGAGAAAAAAACCCGTTGACCAGTGTCGGAGACAGTTTCTAACAAATGTCCATCCATCTAATTTATTTTTTATTATTAAGAAGTTAAAATAAAAAGTCAAATATCGACTGCAGTCACTTTGATTTGACGTAGTATTTAGTACTAGCTGTACCCGTACGGCTTCATCCGCATGAAATTATGAAAATTTGGGTGCCTTCAAGAGGTGAATGTGTTTACGCTTTATCATATTTGTATAGATTTGTTTTTGACATTTTACCCATGACTTCTAGATAGAATCCATGTTCTCGCAGTCTTCGGTACATATCTCTGAAATTTGTATGCACGTGGTCCGCATGCCAGTCCAGCGGGTCGTGTTTAGCTCGCAAGTCGTCCCGCGGGAAATATCCGCCAGGGTACCGCAGACTGTGGAACTGATCCCATAGGAGACGACGGGATCTTACCGGCACTGGTATTATACGTGCTCTATAAAATACGAAACCTTTAAGAAATGTATTTTAAAATTTTTTTTCAAATATATATAGTAAAAAAATATAATAAAAAAAAAAAGTTTCTTTGAAAGGTAACATCACCACGTTTTTTAGATTTATTTTCTTATTAATTGTTTGTAAAGATCCAAACGACGAAGAAGATACTATTTTTTAATTTTTTTACAAACACATCTCTTAATTTTATCAAATATCTTGGCGGTTATACAATTTAGGTATAAATATAGGGATTTTAGAGCCATCAAAATTAAAATAATTTACACCTATAAAAAGGGAAATATGTCTTTGGTTAGTAACAGAATTCTGTCAAATTGCACAGATTTCGCTTCTATTTGACATATGTCAAATGACAAAAACAAAAAGAGCAGTCTCTGGCGCCATCAACACAAGATTCCAGTTTTTGACCGCTTAAATATATCCCTCCAAAGGTTTTTTTTTACTTAATATAAATAATTTTACCTGATTGGCAACATAAGGGTTGTATTTATCATCGTTCGTTCTTTAGTTTCATCATGACTTTCTATAGTTATATTTACGTGGCCCTGGAATTAAATAAATAACAAAATATAAGTACATATTCATGTCAGGATCACACTAAATAAAAGTATACGATCTCTGTCTACCCCTCTGGGTTACGAAGGTCTGTTATGTTGTATATTTCTTTTAGATATTTTAGAATTATTTTAGTAGGTAAATCTAAATATCAAGTAATCAAAAGATTATTATAGTGGAATTCTTTACTTTTAGTACTAGCTATGGCTCACGACTTCGTTTGCGTTAAATTAAAAAAAATAGTATAATTATAGCCTGATAATAATCAGTGATAACATCGCTTTTTAAATATGCAAGATTTTTCGTAATCCAGTAGTTTATTCGTGAATTAAATACATACAAAAATCCAAAAATACAAATCTTTCCTCTTTATATCAGTAAAGATAAGTTGACAAAGACGCGGCTAACTGGATTCGCTAAAATAGCGAAACGGTCACCACAGACGGTAGTTTTTAGCAGGTATATTACCTCAACAACCCCGTCAAAGTCAGCACCCTCTTGTAGTACAGAGAAGCTGAGAGCAAGCCAACCAGACCACGGCCAGAGTATGGGGCTATAATCGGCTGATACCGATAGCAACCCCCCATTGGGTAAATGGGGGTGCCATGTCACCTCTTTCTATAAACATAAATAATTTTAATTCAAAACCAGAAGATAAGTGTATAATAATAGAAATTATTTCAATAATAAGGTATTATCCGTTACAGTGTTTTTGATGATTCAAGTGGTTTTTAGACCTCGTGCAATATTGATCCGCTAAGAAGTTTGAATACGTTAATACTAAAATATATTAAGTAATTTTGTTTCATTACTATAAACAAAATGTATACTAATTAACGTAAGATTGGAACTAATTGTTACTTTTTAAACGACGTCAAAGAGTAGTTTCTCAATTTTATAGTGTTTTTTTTATGTATTTTTATCGATTACTCTGCGATTTATGATAAAATTTACGCGATTCTCTTTGTTTGACATGAAATAACTAGCATTCGATCACATTTTTTTTTATGTCATAGCTATCCAGTAGTTTTTGAGTTTTTCGTAAAAAATATACTGAAAATAGGAAATTTTAAAATCGGTTCCCTTTATTGATACTTTTAGGATATTTCTCTAGTTTGATTGTTAGAAAACATTTTACAAGGTTTCTTACCACATCTCCGGCAACTCCTAGCCCATTAACAACGGTAACATTAGCGATAGTCGGTTGCGCGCTATAGTACAGCGGCTGTGTGCAGTACGGCCACATGTAAGTGCACTCCGTTAGATCCATGTAAGGCGGACTTAGACTCGCCTGTGGCGTATACTCACGTAGGAACTGCGATAATATAGTAAATACAAAAAATGTATTGTAAAATAATCAGTATTGCGCTCGAGGATCGGCACAACACTAGATCATTGGCATACACGTCTCAACACTACATCTGTCAATGTCATTCGTAATAAAAATGGCGCGACATTTTGATAGGAATTAGTAATGTGAGTAATAAAGTTAATGATGTTGTAACAATTATATCAATGTCTGAAGTAACAGTGGTCGTGCCCGCTTTAACATGTTAGCAGTGCAGGCCGGCACGCCTCCACTAATACCACGACCACGCAGAAGACAGGCGGCAAATGGAAGCAATTCCGTGTACAGTCTGATGAGTGTGGTGCCAGAAGCCTAATTTAAGTCCCTTTCTCTTTACCACCCTTTTCTTATAAGGAGAGGATGGGAAGGGGAAGTGGATTTGACGGCGGAGGAGATGCATAGGAAGGGGAAATATTCTCTTTATGTGCGTCTCCTCCTCCGACGTATAAGGGTAGGCCACACATCTGCAATTGCGGATGTCTATGGGTAGCGGTTGCTTCGCCATTTTGGCGGATTCAGGTGGCCGCTTGCTTGTTTGCCACCTTATATTATAAAAAAAAATAAGTAAAAGGCAAAATCCAGATCTCAAGTAAGACTTTGCCACTGAATCTTTTGATGGTTTAAACGACTATTGTGATCACTTAACTCTGAATTAATGATTAAATTATTTTATGCTAAGATGTTTGCTATCATTTTCTGTCTAAATCTGTCTATATATAAAGTAAGCGCCTGTTTATTTACTACTAGCGTTCGCCTGCGACTCCTTCCGCGTAAATTTAATAAAAGAACGTAGCTTATGTGTTCTACCAGACTAACCTCTACATATATGCCAAATTTCACAGAGATTCATTCAGCTGTTTTGGCTACAAACTCTAAAAAACATACATCCATCGATTCATCCATTTAAACTTTTGCATTTATAATATTAGTTAGACTGTTAAGATGTTTATTTTATTATTATTTTGTCAAAGAGAAAAATGATGGCAATAAATATTGACATAATTATAGTTTGTCTAAATAATTTAGAATAGTTTGACAATTCATTTAAAATTTAGTAGTGATGGGTATTTAGTAGTGATGTGTAAAATCAGTCATGAATCTTATCGATTTTCGATTTTTATGCTTATAGAAGTTGGAATCGATAGATTCATAGCTATAGCTTATGAATTAAAAAAACACTGTTTTTTCTCAAATTAATATATACCAGACCATAGAGTAAATCAATGTTTATTAGCCGTACGTAATAGAATTGGATTTCGCTATTATTTCTGTCATCGCTAAATTCTCTACACTCTAATCAATACTAGAATTATCCTCTAAAGTAGTTAAAAAGAAAATAATAATTTTAGTTAAGTTCGATAATTATTTAAACCGAATGTCGATAGTTCATAATTGTTGACACTACGACACTTGTCTATTAAGTACGGCATTTGGTTCATACAAATTGAATTGGATACTTCATATGCGTCATTTATCAAACTAATCTATCTTATTTAGTCAAACTAAAATTCAAATTAGTATTGTATATGTGTTAACTATATTTATTGTTCTTAGTACGTGAACTACTAAGATATGTCAGTACCTGGTAAGCACTAATGAGGTCAAGTTTCCCGTGTCCTTGTTCAAACATATTGTACCCGGGGAGGCGGCGTGCGGTGACGCATAACGCCTGTTTGACGGCAGCTGGCGTCAAATGTTGACGCGGAACGCCACTAGCGAGCAACGCAATCGCACCCGCAACCACGGGAGATGCAACTGACGTACCTTGTGTCAAAAATTGACATACTTTCAGAGAAACTTAATCTACAAACAGCACTATTATAAAGATATTTTATATTGATAAGAAAACCGATACCGTGTTAGTGTAGCACAACACTAAATGGGCGGAAAATTGACGTACATGTCCCTTCTCTATAATAACTGTCATGTCAATACAAGTTTTAAAAATAAAGCTCCAATCATGTAGCACGCACAACTATGTGCGATTGTCGATTGTTTCGTAGCCAATTCAACTGTTTAGTTGCACAGCTAAAATTTAAGTAGTGTGCGAACAACATAACCTCATATCAAAGCGCGACTAAACGGTTGTGCGATAGTTTGGTCATATATTTGCGCACGCTCTTATTATTGAATACAATAAGACTGTTTTAATTACATTAATGTCCAAAACTAAACAGTTTCGCACAAAGTTATTGACTATTAAGGGAGTTAATTCATGCAGATTTAGTTTGGGAAATCTACACTGAGTGAATCTTTAGGTAACTTTTGATATCTGTCATGCTATGCAAAAGCAAAACTTAAGTATAAGTCTTTTCAAATATCTTGTCGGCTCTGATCTGCGATCCCCTGTATCCTTTTCTACTTAACATTGGGTTCTATGAAGGAATTCATACGATATTCCAATTTTTGCACAATACTATACAAAAGCACCTAAACATGCAGTCTGTTACCGTCAAAGTGATAGAAAATTGCCTTCCGTCCTTCTTCTGTGACTAAAGTGCGATCAATTTATCTGTCCCGGTGAGAGTATCGTGAATATCATAGTAATGTTTAACACATACCACTGAGAGATTTACAACCGCCAGTGACGCTAGAGCCGCGAACGCCGCTGCCGTATGTCACTATATCTGGTTTCATGCGACCGTAACCCTGGAATATTCAAAAATATATTAATATAAAAGTCCCTAATCAGTCACTAAGGGACACATTACAACTCTAAGAGGTTGGTCGGATTAAAATTCCTTTACTGTTTAAAGTAAAATTGGAAAAGAATTCCATGAAATTTGGCACAGGTTTAGAGCATAGTCTGGAAGAACACATAGGCTACTTTTTATCCCGGGAATAGTTACGGATCCCGTGGGATACATTTAATTTTTTAATGTTTACTCGATCGTTCTGCAACTGGTGTACACATGAGATAAGGTTCATCTGGTTCTCGAGGGATACGTAGCTTTTTGTTATTTATATAGTTCATATATTTTCTAATACCACGCGGACGAAGTCGCGGCCAACAGCTAGTGAACTATAGTTTTTATAATTTCATGCGGGCGAAGCCTCAGGGGAACAGCTAGTATATAATAAACAGCTATAGTCCCTAATCAAACACCAAAGGAGATTTTTCGTCTCTAAGCGGTTATCGTGATAAAAATTTCATTTACTGCTTAAAGTAAAATAATAAAAATAAATGTTTAATACAAATTCCTATGAATTATTAAAAAACCCATTTGTAAACAAATTAAATTAACTTACATTAGGCAGTTCCCAAGTTGTCATTCCCCTTGATGAGAATTTGGCGATACGATCATCGAAGCCAATTCCTCCAACTCCGATAACATCCATCTGATCCGCTGGGTTATTTAGTGTACCGTACAGTGGCCCATCATTGCCTATAGCGGACACCATTATTACCTGGAATTACAATCATCTTATCTTAATAATAATAATAAATGCCTTATCCTACTCCCGTAGGGTCGGCGCACCGGGTTTTCGTCCTCCAAAGCACTCTATCATCCGTCATCTCAGTCATCACTCCCTTCTTGATCATGTCACCTTTTAAGCAATCCATCCATCTCTTTCTAGCTCTACCTCTACCGATGTACCCCTCCACATTCATAACTAACATCCTTCTTGTTACATGCGATTCATCCCTTCTCATAATAAATACACTTGAACATAAAATACAAACGAGAATAAAAAAGACGTTAACTATTTAAAATCAAAACTAACAAAAAACAAATTGCCGAGAGAAAAAAACACTAAACATATTAGACATTCTAACCATGTGTTGCAATGCAGAACTGATAGGGATCTTACTAATATTATAAATGTAAAAGTTCTGTTGGATGGATGTATGGATGTTTGTTAAAGTTTGTAGTATAACGGCTGAATGGATCTCGATAAAATTTGGCACACATGTAGAACAGTCTGGAGGAACACATATTTGCTTTTTTTTATAAATCCCCGCAAACGGAGTCGCGGGCGAAAGCTAGTTTCCTTTACGCAATATGCAATATCTGCAACAATACCTGCACATACATCTGCAAGGTATTTCAAGGACATATTTAGGTGTCAACAATACCACAGGGGCCGGCAGAGTTGGCTAAAACCTAATCACCCTTATAGTCTTAATGGCTTAGTATACAGTAATTTCAACATGTAAATTAGTATTTTACTTTCAAAATTATATTAATAAATAGTCGCAGAGATTTTAAATACTACTACATATTATAAATGTGAAAGTTTAGATGGACGGATGTTTGTTAGACTTTGTATCCTAAACAGCTAAATGGATTTCGATGAAATTTAGTACAGATGTAGAGGATAGTCTGGAAGAACACATAGACTGCTAGCTTTTGTTTTTTTTTTCAATTCTACATGAACGGATTCCCGGGCGAAAGCTAGTTTTAACATATAAATTAGTATTTTACTTTCAAAATTATATTAATAAAAAATCATAGAGAAATTAAATATAAATTTTTAACATGTAAATTACTTTTGACAAAAAAAAAAAAATAAAACAATTTAACTTAGGTTTTAACAATGATTTTAAAATATCATACGTATATAATTTATAACACGGCTAAATTCATGTGGCAACTTTTGGTGTAGGCACCGACCAGTTTCAGACCCATCGGGGGTTCTACACCGAACGTTGCCACATGAATTTAGCCGTGTTATAAATAATATAGTACTAGCTGTTCCCGTGCGACTTCACCCGCATAAAATTATAAAAAAAAATTTTTATTGTTTACATGTGTCAAATTATTAATTGCAAATGTCAAAATGACATGACATGATGACAACCTTGCTTCCTTGATGTTGGCAGCAACTTATGGTCTCTTTTCTACATTAGGGCATTTATCCAAAATATTTACCCCCTAAGTTTAACAGCGTGAAACTAAATAGCCTAAAGCGTGACGTAAGTGTGCGGCTTTTTATTAGAAAAAGAATTATTCAAAAATATGCTGTAATTGCTGACATGTTAGGCAACAAAGAAATGTGTGTTTACGCTTTATTATAATAGTATAGATAATATCTCACGAAAATTTTAATAAGTTAAAATCCTACCTTATTAGCACTTAGCTCCCACACTTTATCAACAAATGGATGATCCATAAAATCTGGTCCTCCGATACTCAAATTAAGTACATCAATTTTTCTCATAATCGCATAATTGAAAGCGTCTAGAAACCACGATGTGTATGAAACCTAAAAAAAACGTATAATTTAATAATTAAGCCGCATATACACTTTTGACAGATCAAATAAAGAAGAGATATGACAACGGAAATATACATTTCTAAGGTAGGCAGCAAAAAAGACTATTTTAATTGTCTCCCTATTATAGTAACTACCAAAGTAAGTGTACATTAAATACGAGAAATCAATACTAAGAGACTATTGATTGACCATCAAACAATGAGTATGGTACAGCCTTTCATAAAATAAGTTTTTTATGTAATCTTTGTAAGATTAAAACCCTTAAAACTATAAGACCCTTTATAATTTGTTTGAAGTTAATAAATACCTGATTATCAGTAAACACTCTGAATATATGTAAATCTGCATCAGGAGCGAATCCAAGACAATCAGCTCGAGAAGCTATCACTCCTGCTACAAATGTCCCATGACCTAATGCATCATCCAATGTGTTCTCTCCAGTCCAATCTGTGCGTTCCCTTACACGACCAAAGTGCGGATGATGACGTGCTAAGCCAGTATCAAATACTGCCACCCGTATACCTTCACCTAAATAAAGATATAAAATCTTACTAATATTATAAATGCGTAAGTTAAGATGGATTTTTGTGAGAGTTTGCTAAATTGCTAAATGGATTTTGCAGATGTAGATGATAGTGAAAAAACACATAGGGATAAAAAGTTTTTTAATCCACGCAGACACAGTCGAGGGCGGAAGCTAGTGTACAATAATTACTGCACTTTAAGACTCGAAGAAACCAAAACTAACTAAATGATCAATTTTTATATTTAAAATATCCCTGTAGGGTCAGTTGCAATTATTCTTAAAATAAAAAAAATGCAATCATAAACGAATATGCTTATTATTTTTGCCATAATTAAAATAAATAAATCTCAAAGTCAACATATGCATATAAAAAAATAATCGAGAAGTAATACGAGTGGCCTAAAAGACTCGCTAATGATAGGAGTTACGTAATTAAGTAGCACAATGATCTCATTGTTATTTGTGATTAACGATGTTACCACACCATAGATTGTTAGAATACTTAACGCAACTTAGAAATACCTCTCTTATATATGGTTCGAATAGCATTCAAAGCTAAACAAAAAGGATTTAAAAACTTGATAATTTTCTGATAAAAAATATGGTTTTAATATAGTACTTTCTGGAATAAAAACAAAGATACCTGTTACACCCAAAGACCATAGTAAATCTGCTTTTAACACCGAAGTTATTTGCCTCGGTACTGTTCTTAGTAGTTTTCTCGATGAATAACCTTCATTCTGCAAGAAAAATTATAGTCATTTTAATTTACATTAAAATCAATTAATATTAATCTTCGACTTTTACAATATAACATATTTTTTTTTATATAACATAAGATGGCAAACGAGCAAGCGGCCACCTGAATTCGCCAAAATGGCGAAGCGACCGCTGCCCATAGACATTCGCAATTGCAGATGCGTTGCCTACCCTTATCCGACAGAGGAGAAGACGCACATAAAGAGGGTATTTCCCCTTCCCATGCACCTCCTCCTCCGTCAAATCCACTTCCCCTTCCTATCCTCTCGTTATAAAAGAGGGTGGTAAAGAGAAAGGGAGTTAAATTAGGCCTCCGGCACAACACTCATCAGATGAAACGCGGAATTGTTTCCATTTGACGGCTGTCTTCTGTGTGTTCGTGGTATTAGTGGGGGCATGCCGGCCTTGCAGTGATAAGATGTTAAAGTGGGCACTACCACTGTCAAAGTTATATATATACAAATAAAGTTCCTTTTAGTTTAACATTAAATTATTAGAGATGCTGAGCATATATAGTAAATTCAGTAGGGGCATCAATAATTATTCTCTAGAAACATAATTGTCCAGAACATAATTAACATACCTCTCTCGGTTTCCTAATAGAGTTAAGTGCTCGCCGACGATGATTTCGCCATCCTGTGTATAAGCAGCCATTGGGACCACAATTTGAATCCTGTTACCAATAAAAAATCAAAAGTTATAAACATATATGACCCACCAATATCATCAGGAATTAAAAGTATTAAAAGTTCCACAAAATAGTTACAATCTGTTAAGACATTCCATGTGAGATGTAACTATTTTCGTTTGCATACTCACCTCCGGTACATATTTGATGGTGCGTTGAACTATCCTCTGAGCTGTAACTCGACGGATAGCGGGATGGTCTTGTAACGCATCAAGAGCTGCTCGACCACCATCATTCAATACAATCACATCAAAGTCACTCGGATAATCCTTTGCTGGATTTTCCCGTTGAACTATTGTCCAATTTGATACCTGTAATTTTAATAGTATCCACATAATTGATAGTACAAATATCGACTATGGGTATGTAAGATTGTATAATTAAATATCTTGACTTTACATGATTTTAAAAAAATGCAAACATTGCTATATTTTGCCTCTATGTAGCATTTTTACTCATTAAATTCGGCATAAAAAAAATACATCTCATTTCAAATAAACTCTGAATGAAAATACCTTCCTTTCAAATGATCTACATGAAAAAATATACTGTTTCATGATAACCATTTGAAATTGGGTATAGACCTTGTGTGTGACAATTAAATAAAGACATAACAAATTAATTAATTATATATGAAGGATTGTTGAAGTGCTTTATTCTCATACATGGCACCACTCTACTTTGGACACCAATCCCCCGCCCAAGGGGAAAATTAATAAAGTTTTTTTTTATTATAGTATCACATCATCACCACAGGTCACTATACGTCCCCACCGAGGGGCTCGGAGCCTAACCTAAGTCATAGTATACTATTTACAAAATATTTATCAGTTGTCATGCTTATTCCGCATTTATCAGAATGGTCATTCAACTGTGTGTAAATTTTTGATGTGTCTAATTTCCTGACCTTTCTTATCTAAAAGTGGGAATTTGACCCTTTTACATAAAGATACTACATCATATTATAATAACATCCTTTAAACATTTAGTAATAATCTATACTAATGTTATAAAGAGGAAAGATTTGTATTTTTGTATGTATTGAAATAACTCAAAAACGACTGGGCCGATTTTAAAAATTCTTTCACCGTTAGAAAGATAATTTATCTGTGGGTAACATAGGCTAATATTTTTTTAATTTCATGCAGCCGAAGTCGTGAGCAACAGCTAGTAAATAATACAGTTATTGTGTTTTATATTTATTTCTAAGTTTATCTCCCCAAACATTTATAAATACTAGTCAGTTTAGTAGCATTTTTCCTGAATACCATATGTCTGAGATACATTCATCCATTTAGGCTACAAACTCTAACAAACATACACAATTTTCGCATTTATATCAGTAAGAATAAAAAAAAAGAAACATCTAGTCGATACATTACCTTCTATATTTTAGACTATATTTAGAGTTTATACCTTAAACGGCTTAATGGATTTTGAAGAAATTTGGTCTAAATATCCCCTATATTCTGATCAAAGTCTGGAAAAACACAGGATACAATTCATCCATGAAAAATGTCAGGTTCCCAAGGGATAAATAGTTTTTTTGGTGTTCGTAGTTCATTTGTTCTTTTAACACAACACAAACACGAAAATAGTTAGAATTACATATACAAATAATTTATGTGTTCTTTAAGAAATTTCACAGGAAAACGATTCACATACAATTTTGAGATATTTTTCTTTTATCCCAAAATTATTTTTTTACCTTCTATTAAATAAATAGTATATACTTATTACTTATACCATAGACCACACAGCTTTTCGAAAAATAAATGATTATTTCTAAAAAGTAATTCACATGTTCCCGAAAAAATATCACAATTTTTAAATAACCAAACTTACACCGGCGTTGTTCAATGCAGCAGTGACATAATTTTCTCTTGCTCTTCGAAGAAAATACCCCCTAAATGTAATTATATGTTCACTTCCGACAACATCAGTACTAAATTCATATTCTACACCTTCAGAACTTGTCGCATTACATAAAACGGAGTCGGTTACTTCAGCAGAAAAAACTATCGTAAGTTTGAGACCAAGTAAAAACAACAGTAAATGGGTGCCCATGTTTTAACTTTATCAACTACACCATTACTTCTTATTTGGTTATTAAATTGACGTTAATTTTAAAGTTAACGGTTTTTTGTTTGTTAAATTCATTTTCATATATAATAATCGTGGAGTTATGAAGACAATAATCAAATGTATTTTTTAATAGATTTAGCAAACATTACGGTAGTACCAGGCTCTTGTGTACATAAAACTGCCAGTGTCACAGTGACATATAGAGTGACAGATGCCAAAAAATTGTCAAACTATAAATTCGTTATTTCTTCCGTCATAGATGGTCTACCGTTTTTTTAGTTTGATATTTGATTTTTATAGTTTTCGGAATATTAAAATAATTTTACTAGTATAATTTCTTGTACAACCTCCAGTTTCAGAGGTCCAGATTTTAAAGGGTATAATTTTTATATTTTTATAAGGTATAGTTTGCCCAGAACACTACTATCGGTGGTTTATTTCAGAAAATATATAAAATCTAGATACATAAAAATAAAAAATGTCTTAGAAATAGAATCTTCTATCCACCGGGTCAGATAACTTGTTGGTCTCTATAATTTGTGAAATATTTCACTTATAATGACGTACGTGACTTTAATACATTCGTCACAATTTGTCAAAGGGATGAAGGGAAATAGAAATTGTATTTCCTGTGTTCACCGTTTATACAAATACAACTAAATTATAGTATTTAAAAAGGATGGCTTTTGATTTGGTGGAGAGGTTTCCCAAAGTAACAAAATATTACGCGCTCCTTGATCCCGGACAGTATCAATCTATTTTCGATGCAAAGCAAAAAGAAAGCGCAGCACCATTTCTTACAAAATCACCTCGTGTTAGTCAACAAGGTAACAAAATCTGGACACACGCTGCATACAAGCCTAAGAGCGACCATCATATACCAAATTGTACATCAATTCGTTCAAAAGTACCGCGGTTTAAATATGATACAATCAGTAAAGCGGAGTTAGATGCAATTTTATGTAATTGTGGTCAAAATACCTGTGAATGTTTGCCAAAAAAGGAAGAACCCGAATCGAAAACTGAAGAACCTATCCGTCCCCGTATATTTATAGGCGGTTGTCCAAGGGCACAGAGTGACAGTGGTATATCCGTACCGTGTAGAAGAGATCGTGGATTTCAACTTTTTCCTAATGGTAGACAGAAACGTATACTCGAAGATTTTAAGCCTGGTCCCCCGTTGTATGATACTAGAGTGCACGAGTTTACAACTTTTTTCCGTGGATGCAAATGGAGCCACTGGACTGCGCGAAGATCTACCAAAATTGTAGACGATGGACCCGGCCCCGCTGCATATACCATAGAACATGGGCCAACCGAAACAGAGATGTGTGCGGAAAAAATCCGTGCAGAAAGAAGAAGAAAATCAAAACAATACAGGTACATTGAGATGGTCCAACAAAAAAATTTAAGAGAAAATCAACCTGGCCCGGCTACTTATAGTCCAAACCCTCCTAAACATACAGAAATGAAGTTCTTAGGAACGAAAGCTGAGAGATTTCAAACTTCAAAATACGAAGTTATTCCTGGACCTAACGCTTATACAATTAAACGTATGTTTGATCTGCCAGAACCGCCAGAGAAGAATTGTCATGCAACCTTACCTCCCTTGGCTCCTTTTGGATTCAACGCGCCAAGGTTTCAGCGTACCACGCAAAAGGCGCCCGGACCGGCTGACTATGAAACTACTCGCAAGATTTGTAATATACTAGTTTGCACAAAAGCACCTTTTGGGTCATTTACAAAACGATTTCCTAAAACAGAAGAACTGGATGAAAGAGCCGAGGTAGAAGATGAAGTAAAAGACGAAGAACAACAAGAAAAATGTATTAACTTAAGTTGGATGTTCAAATCTAAAGCGAAAAGACTATCCCGTCTGGAGAAGAACTTATGTGCACCAAGTCCTGCAGATGTACCTATGACAATGTATGACAAAAAAAGGTCTTTGCCGTTGCAAAAATCAGCACCGTTCTATACATCGACCGAACGTTTTCAACCTTGGTACAACTGGGTACCAATACAGAATTTGTTTAAAACCCCCGGACCTGCTCAGTATAGACTGGATAAACCGTCATGTACACCCGCTGTAGTACGAGGACCTTTATATCGGTCCAAACGTTTCGAATATTCAATTTCCAAAACACCTGCAAGTAACAACTATAGTATAGGAGGCGGAGTGGAGACAGTGTTACATACAAGCAGTGTGAGAGTTAAAGATAATATTAAGAAAAGACGCAGATTCCGTTGGAAAGCTTTGAAACAAAAGAGTAAATTAAGTGATAAAGAAAAAGAAGCACTTTTATTAAACAATTGTATAGCTTTGCTGAATGTTGACCCTTTTAGTGATAAAGTGTCCAGTTCGGGTAAATCTTATTCTACAACACCCGAAAAAAGAAATAATAAACTATTACACTGCTTTTTGTACCGACATGCAGTACCTAATTATTTTTAGATTTTTATCTGATGAGATTTGGCACAACCACAGCACGATTGGCAGCCAGGGCAGCAGCAGTGACGCACGATTTTTAATATCATATAGTTACATCGTATTTTATTAACAATATCCACTGGAAGCGGTTTGGCGCAAAACAGCCTTTTATCATCCTTTTTACACAATATTTAGGAAACCTCAAGTTGAAGTTCCAAGTACAAAATTAAGTTTGAGTAAAACTTCAATGAAAATAGATTACCTTTTATTTTTTAATGGCCAGCAGTTAATTTCCCTTCTTGGTTGGCGAATACATTTAATTTCCAATATTACAGTAAAAAGAAATCCATCGTAGTCCACATTAAAGTGTTTTATATTGTATCTTTTCACATTTTATACAAATTTACAATAACATGACATTAAAACTATAACCCGGCTTTCATTTCTTAGTGACATTGTAATACAACTATAACGTTGTAGATTGTAATATTAGTAATCACGCTAAGTTATAATAACATCTTTGGACATTATCTTTTAAATAAACGTAGTATATGTTTCCTTGTGTAATTTTAAACAGGATATTGTTCCATTTAACAATGGTAGGCTATACTGGTACAATGTTTTGATGAAAGTAAGTTACTTATTAGGCACGCGACCAGCCGCAGCTGTTAAATGTATCGTAACATTACGAAAGGCGCCAGACAGATAATGAAGAGAAAGCTACTGATGGCCCTTACCATATTCACGCTGTCCGCAGCCAAGAAACGACAATCAGAAGGCCACCAACATGGAGCCTCATCAGGGCACGAGGAACATATAGACAAGATAATCACATTCGACCAACAACCAACATCAGATACTCTACGAAGAGAATTGACTGTTAAGAATTTTGCAAGCAACATGTTAACCGAAGAAGAATACTTTAAAAAGATCGACATCCTACAAGATAGAGTGGGGAATCTTAACTCATTAGTGCATAATCAAACGAATACGATAATCGAGTATCTAATGGAAATATTGAAGTTGGTTCAACTGGCGCCCGTACATGTAATGGAGAACGCCATACAATCATTAAAGAACGATTTGGACAAAGTCAAATATCTGCTCACCCGACATCATCATTCTAGTAATCATTCACTACGACGAGGTATTTTATATACATTTTTCTTTAAACGTGTCTTACACTATTAATAATTATTATTTAGTCTCAATAATAGATTATGTAAGTGTATTTACTATTTATTTTTCTTATCTACTCGTTGTCTGACTGGAGAAGAAAAATAAAAGCGTGAGAATAATATAACAAGATAAAATAAAACAATAATAAAAGAAAATGCAACATTTCTAAATAAAAAATTATGGTCTAGTATGCTGAAAACATTCGATGGCACTGTCAAAACATTAACGAAACAAAAGCGCGCGAACACCTTTGACTAAACTAACGCAAAACTGTTTAATCCCGCTTCGATTCTTATGAGATTAAATGGTGGTGCTCACACTAGTTACTCGATTATAAGTTGTGCAACTAAATAGTTGAACAGGCTGCATAAACAATCAACAATCGCACAACTGTTATGCGAAAGTTTAGTTGTGCATCGCTCTACAGACTTTAATGAATCTTAGTTATTGTTTAAATATCAGACTAATAATTTTAGGAGTGGTAAAGTCCGCTTTAATATCTTCGCATGAAAGGGCCGACTCGCCCGGTGTAATACTACAACCATACAGAAAACAGGGGCTAAGTGGGAGCAATTCCGCGTACAGTCTGATGAGTCTGATTCTTTTTTCTTAAGAGGAAATGATGACAATAAAAAGTGGATTGTTGGTGGAGGAGACGTAAAGGAAGCGGAAATATTCTCTTTATGTGCGTCTCATCCTCCGTCGATTAAGGGTAGGCTTCGCTCTGCAATGCGGATGTATATGGGCAGCGGCAGCGTCTCCATTTCGGTGAATTTAGGTGGCCACTAACTCGATTGCCACCTCATAAAACTGTTTTGGTAGTGAAAATGCATGCAATAATGCTTATTCAAATCCAAAAGTTGCCAATAAGCGGAGCGATACCAAAATAATTCTAGATTGCAATTGATTTGTTTTGTGTCAGTGAAATAGCGCCTAGATTCAATGTTAAATTAGTATTGGGGCAAATAACATATCATTTACGCTTCGTTCCCGTGTCTTCCACGTTACATTTTCCTTCTGTTCCAGCAGTTGATATAAGCCCCCAGGTGTACTATGTGTTTATAGGAAAGTGAAAGATGTTTTCTTAACTTTAATCCTTCGACTGTGTGAACTAGTACGAACAATAACCATCGACCTTTCTGTGGTGTCGTGATTACGTTTTTTTCCCATCGTATGTTTAGTTGATTGGCTCTAAGTCAGAGGATCCCAACCTTTTTTCCTCGTAGCAACCTTTAAAGTTTTAACGGTGAATCCCATTTCTGTTATTGTCTGGAGGGGGTGGGCATTGAAAAACCTAAATTGTTAACATTAAATTTTATTTGGACATTTTATTTTTTTAATTTATTGCATATAGGTAGTGTAAGGATACGTCACGACACCCTACGGCGAGCCCTCAGTATGTTCGAGTGCTGATAAAATGTTCGTGGACCACCATTTACAAATCGTCAATTACCAATTTTGTTTTTACTTAGACAACTTTGGGAATAATTGGTCCAGGTGTAAACTGATTTGTGAACCGCCAAATAGCTCCGCACATATTGCATGACTCGACATACGTGAGGAGTCTATCATTTACATTGTACGCGTCTTTATTGTAAACAATAAGACGTATTTTGAAAATACATCCAAACAAATTGTATATTCGCTCGTGAACATTCTAATAACAATTAACAACGCGAGGTAGCATTATTACGAATCATCTTCTGGGACAAAACGTGCTTGTTTTTATTTGATGAACGTTCTGTTTGTAAACTTTTTGTGAGCGTGGAAAATGTTTGAGCGGGCCAGTCGCTCTACGGCCAAGTGAACGTTCGCACATCGATATGTTATACATTCTGCTGCTTGCATTCTTGACCATCTCCCCTATATCCTCGGAAGTATCGCCGGAACCAGCTAGAGTTAAGAAACAAAAACATAGAAGTGAACATTCAGATAAGAACGCATGGAAAAAAGAATATGAAGACGAATTGAGTAGAGCTATGCTTGCATCGAGGAAACGCGATAACTACACAAGAGTTGTGCAGTCCGCTATGATGTCAGAAAACGAGGCTGTCATAGAAAAAATCATGGAGTCAATCACTACAAGTGAAAAATATCTAAAGAAAATTGACAGTATAGACTTCAGATTAAACAGGCTGGATATAGAAGTTCACGAGAAAACCAATAACATATTGAAATATCTAGCGGCTCTGTCGAAATCATTACAAAGTCAATTGTTCCCGGAGAAGTTGGATACAGCAATAGACTTATTAAAGACAGATATAAGTTACGTAAGAGCAAAACTAGAGAAAACATCGCAAGATAGGGGAGGTATTACTCTACCCCATAGTAAGCCTTCTTAACAAACTTATGTATATCTTGTTTCTTATAATTTACTTTTTGATACCTAATCGTTTTCTTTTTAACACTTTTTGGTAACAATTTAACTTGCATATTTAGTATCTATAAGCCAGATAAGCACTCCACTGATATATTGGTACTAAGCAATAGGTGACTAGGCCGTAGTCAATAAGGTTCTTATTTTTATTGAAAATCTCAAAAAATATCAGTAAATAGTTATTAGGGGTCGTGTAGAGATCAAAAAATATTAAACAAAAACGTTAATACCCCTAATTATCTAATACACTATATCTCCGCCTTTACAATATCTACTTTTCACTTCAAATCTCAATAAAACGAAACTAACTTTATAAAAATTCTTATTTTGTCATAAAGTGAGGCCAATCCTCACGAGCACGATAAGTAGGCTTAGGGCATACAGAGAGCAGGTCTCTCACATCAGAAATAATGCGATCCGTGAATCCGTAGGGTGGTCTAAAAATTACTACTCTTTCAGCGATCTTCATTTTTTTTTACTACACATAAGGTAGCAAACGAGCTAGCGGCCACCTAAATCCACCAAAATGGCGAAGCGACCGCTGCCCATAGAATTCCACAATTTCAGATGCGTTATCCCTTATCCGACGGAGAAGGAGACGCACATAAAGTGGATATTTCCCTTTCCTATGCATCGCCTCCACCGTCAAATCCACTTGGGAAGGGTCCTATCCTCTCCTCATAAGAAAAGGGTAGTAAAGAGGCAGGGACTTAAATTAGGCCTAAATTCATCTTCGTAATATCAGTGGTTAAACTGGCTTTACGTATTCAGTTTAATTGAACATTCGGACTAGACTACTTACTATAAGACACAAAACATTTTTTGTTATTTGATGACCGTTATTGTTGCAGTGGATACTGGTGCATATAGATTGGAATCCGCTCTAGACTCACGACTTAAGTTCGTTGAAGACCATATCAAGGGTATCATGGCCAGTGTTGAGTCCATTTCAGGAGTTATAGCGGAAGTTAAACATCGACAGAATAATAAACTTTATCACAAGTAAGTATGATATGCATGTTATGAATCACACGTTATAAGGAGAACTTTATAAGTGTGGAGGTATACTGGTAGTGGGAGACCTAAAAAGAGATGAATGGATTCAGTGTAGGTGATATCCAAGAAGGGAGTGGTGCCTGAGTTGACGGATGAGACTCTACGGGAGTACGATAAGATAGAGGAGATGATGATGGAAAATATAACATCTTAGTAGGTCCTGTCAAAGTATAATGCCGTTACTTTGTCATACTTTCATTCTTGAGCAGACTGACAAATACAGTATTTAAGTGACGAGCGTGAAACAATGTGATTTCGATAATTAACGGTTTTTATTTATTCTAGCTGCAAAATTTAATTCGAATTTCTTAGTCGACAGGAATCAAACGGCGGATTGGACAGCTTATCAATAATAAGTGAGTTTAGAAAAGCGCTACATGAACAGAAGCCGAAGAGATGTGAATGCAAGTTAGTATCAAATCTTTAAAGTCGGTTTTCATCGATGTAACTCAATTCTTATTCGAATTTCGTTTATTTCTTTTCAGAATCGGTCGAATGGACCGTAATGAACGATACCCTACGGATTGTCATGAAATACAAATTCAAGGTTTTAACATATCAGGCATCTACAAGATCAAACCAGACGATATTGATCCGTTCTACGTTTTGTGCGATCTTAGCACCGCTGGTGGGGGATGGACTGTAAGGACAATAATTATCATTTTGTTATTTAAGTAGCCTAGCTCTCTGCGTTTCTAACTTGTATGACATCATATTTCCACCCATTAAATTTTAATGTTCATTTCATCAAACTTCCATGATGGAAACGCTTTTAAAGGACAGTGGCATTAACTATTTGACGGCTGTTATAATAAC